GATAAGTTCCTCTATCTCGTCGCGGAGATTATTACAATGTTCGGTGCTATGACCGTGGTCTCTATGAAAACTGCAGTACAAGTTTTTATTCCTCTCGTTCGGGTTCGCTTTCAGACGAGGTGGCCATTTCACGTACGGAGCATCTTTGATTGTCATCAAGATCTCGGCCAGCTTTGTGTTTAAGGGCGTGTAGTCCGCCCAACCTGCTATGGGAACTCGGAACGGCTGGCTTGGCTTCGGCCCCCGAGCTGGGTCTCTCTTCCTCCTCCTGTCATCTTGATTGGAGGGTTCGCCTTCCCTCTTCCTTTTTTCGATCCCACTTTCAGTCCTTTGGTTGATCTCCTCCTCTGTCCTTATGAATCTGTCCGCGAGCTTGAGAAATTCAGCCATGGTCGCGAGCTGGCTGACCACCATGTGCCACTTAAATTCCTTGTGCGTCACACCCCTCTTGGCTACCGCGAGCTGTACTGTGGGGTCTAGGCGCGGTATCTGCAAGCACGCGTCATTGAACCCCTTGATATAGCCCCGGATGGACTCTCCTTCCCTCTGGACTATCCCGAGGAGGCTCTCCTCGGTTCAGGGGCACCGCTTGCTGGTAACAAAGTGCGCGATGAAGACTTGCACAAACTGGGTCCAGCTCCTTACCGACCCGGGGGCCAGGATACTGTACCAAGTGCGGGCCACTTCCCTGAAAGTGGTAGTGAAGGCCACACACATGCAGAACTCGCTGGCCCTTGCCAGGTGCATTTGGGATTGGAAAGCATCGACATGGTCACTAGGGTCAAAGGACTCATCATACTTGCCTAGAGGGGGGAGTTTGAAATCTTTGGGCATGGGAACCGCAAGGAGTTCCGATGACAGGGGGGAAGGGACTGAAAGGATAGGGGCAACTTTTACCTTGTCCGAGCTTGCTTCTTCTTTACCTCAGAGCTCGAGCAGGACACGGGTGGTAGTTTGGCGACTTTGCTGACGCCTCCGCTACTGCTTGAAAGGCCTGGTATTGGCGTTGCTTGCTTCGGTGTTACCGAGCTCAATGGGCCCGAACTGTTGGTGGTAGTCCACGGCCAAGACGCCGAATTGGTTTTCTGTGAGCGGGAGCCCAAACTTAGAGTGCCGAGGTGCCGACTTAATTGGCTGGGAGGTTCCTGATCCGTCGGCGAGCTGCGAGGCGGGGGTAGTTAGTCTTTCCCTCCTGCACGGGGATGAGGCCTGGCTTCTGGAGGGGTTCTGCGGCTGGGAAGCTTCCCCTCGGTGAAGGCGTCCGCCCTGAGGAGAGGGCTTGACCGGCTTGACAGCAGGGTGTCGAGGTGGGAGCTACGGTTGGTTCAAAGGCAGTTGGGGGAACTGTTGTTGGTAGTGATACTGAGAAATGTGGTGTAGTACTTGTTGCTGGTGGAGTTGATGTTGCTGGAACTGTTGCATTTGGGCTTGCATGGCCCGCATGCATTGCATCAAGTCATCAAGTTGATTCTGGCTGGTCGCCAGAGGGACAACAGTCGGTTCGGCAAAGGTTGTCTCAATAGGGAGGGGAAGGGGAGCATTCACAGGTGCCACCATGCTTGGTGCATTGAGGCTAGGGATTCTGCCCGCCGAGAAGGGGACAGTGAACTGTCCGATGCATACAGTGGCGGGCTGAGGGTGTTCCCCTACAGCATTCAAATTGGCGTTGTGCCTGTTACTGCTGGAGGAAGCCATGGATACTGAGGTTTCTTTGAGAGAGAGTTAAAGGTTAGGGGAGGCCTTTTGAAGTCTTCCCACAGACGGTGCCAAATGATGATGCATGATCCGGTCGGTCTTAACTACCGGTAATCTTGCCTCTGATGGAGTCAAAGATGCCTGAAACAAGGAAGAAATCAGAGGTTTCCGGGGAGGAACCCGGTAGGAATACTCCGAAGCTCAAGTCAATGCTCTTGATAAGGCAAGGGAAAATAAAGAGATTTCAAGACCAGAAAGCACAAATATCACATACCTCTTTCTTTGGGGGAGGAAGGCCTTTTATAACCACCTGGTACACTCACTCCCAAATTTCTGCCAAGTCAGGTACAACCGCCTCTGTGGGGGGGGCAGGCATAACCGCCACTGTCCTTTTTGCTAGGGCGGTCTCTGCCACAACTGAGATGGCGATGGCAGATGGCCGTTACGGCGTGATTGTCGTCTGTCAGACCCAGACCAATCAGGCGTGCTGCCCCAGAGTACGGATCTGTCAGATATGGTTTCACAATCGTGCGACCTGGAGCCGAGGTGCTGGAGTGGTGTGCAAGGTGAAGTCTTGAGTTAGGATCAGTAGGTCCTACTGTCCCGTAGTGCTGGCATATGGTCCGAACTGGCCCGAGGTGGGCTAGTTTCGGCCTTACCCTTCGCGGGCTTCGCTGTTAGCCTCGGGATCCTTTAGTGAGAGTTCGGGTTTCGCTTCCAGGAAGCGTGGATTCCTTTTGGGAAGCTCGGGCCTCTTCTTGGGGAGCTCGTGAGCTCAGGCCTCTCTTTGAAGAGCTCAGAAGCTCGGGCCTCTCTTTGGGACGGCCACACTACGTCATCGTGTCGAGCTGGCGTTCCTGCCAGGTCATCTCGTCTTCTTCCACGTGTCGCACAGCCAAGAGGTCGGGCCAAATCTACCTCCATCAGACTGTATCGACCGATACGTATCGTATCAGAGCCTTCACGATACACCCCTACAAGGGGTGTATTGATCAGGCCATGGTTCAAAGGGCAGCCAAGACTTAAACCGACCCCTCTGAATCAGTTTTGAAAAAATAAATAAATAAAACACAAAAAAAGCACTAATACAGGCTAATATGCGGAGTATCAGCCTATATCAATATTTAGAACCATGCTCACACCAACCTCACAGCCACACCCCACCGTGCATTGGGAACATCTCCCGTACTTATGTGATATTATTTATGGGAGATGTTCCCAATGCACAGTGGGATGTGCCTGTGAGGTTGTTGTGAAGCGCCTTGTGTGAGGAGCATATCCCAATTCTCCTCAAATAACCTCCTATTTCTTTCTTCCCAGATATTCCACATGACAGCATGAACAATTGCTTTCTAGAAACAGCTTCCTCTCTTGTCCAAAATCAACTTTAGCCCTTGCCATGAGTTGATAAACTCTATAACAGCATTAGGGGGAGTCTAGCTGAACTTGCCTCCAGATGAGGAGTCGAGAAAGAACTATCAAATATTTCTAGCCACCTCACAATTAAAAAACAGGTGACCGATAGATTCACCATCCTTGTAGCACATCAGATAGATAGTAGGAGAGGTAAAGCGATGGCCTTGAAACTTCTTTTGGAGGTTGTCACAAGTATTTAGCTTTGAGCAAGAAGCCTCCCAAAATCATGAAAGAAACTCCAAGGGGGACTGTGGGGAGCCAAATCGTTTTGCCCGGAAAAGGAGAGGGGGTGGGTTGGTGGTTAGGTGTTGAAAGAAAGAAGAGGTAATGAAGGAGCCTTAAGGGGTTAAAGACCAAATAAGCTTGTCTTCAGTGGAGTGAGAGATGAACACTTCTGAGAGTAAGGCGAGTAAGGAGGTGATTTCAGAAAGTTCTGAGTCTCTTAGCTCTCTGTGAAAATTGAAGTTAAAAGAAAGGCCCTCTGAATCTCTTATCAAGGTTACATAAATGAGAGCAAGCTTATCACGCACTAGCCTAAAGAGAGAGGGGAAGGCTTCACAGAAGGGAGTGCTTCCCCACCAAAGGTCTATCCAAAATTTAATAGTATTTCCTTTTCTTACTTTCAATCTAGTAAGGGGAGTGAAGGAATCAAAAGAATGAACGATACCTTTCCAAGGATTTCGCGAGGAATGAGTCCATAAAGGGAGAGAGTTGCCCCGTCCCCAACTACTTTTGACATATCTGTTGCGGATTACAAAGGCCCATAGAGAGTTTTGTTCTGTTTTGAATCTCTAAAGCTAATTCCCCAAGAGAGCCCGATTTCTTTCCAAGATGTGACCCAACCCTAGCCCACCTTCTTTTTTGGCCTTACAAACCGTTTTCCAGTTTACAAGGCGGCAGCCATTCTCTCCTACTCCCTACCAGAGGAAGTACCTTTGGATTTTTTCCAATCTATTTTTTATTTTTTCTAGAACTTTAAAGAGGGAGAGGAAATAGATAGGGAGATTTGAGAGAATAGCCTTGATGAGGATTAGTCTACCACCTTTAGAGAGATAATTCCACTTCCAAGTACTTAACCTTCTTTCACATATTACAGCATCCCAAAAAAATGCAGATCTCGGATTTCCCCCAAGGGGGAGACCCAGGTAAGAAAAAGGAAGAGTCCTCCCTGCAACCCATCGCCTCCTTCAGGTTTGTCATCAAATGAGGGGGGGTATTGATGCCGATAATACTGCTCTTCTCTAAATTTGTCTTCAGACTTGTTACTACTTCAAAACACCTCAATTCTTTGCTTCAATAAAGAAGATAGTATCGTCAGCATATTGAAGGTGAGAAATATGGATATTCTCATGCCCCACTACAAAGCCTTTAGTTAGATCAGAATCTATAGCCTTTTTCATGAAAGCATCCAGAATGTCAGCTACCAAAGTAAAAAAGTAGGGGGGGAGAGCGGGCAACCTTGCCTTAAACCTCTAGAGGTTTTGAAGTAATCAACTGAAGAGACATTTAACAAGATAGAGATCCAGACTGATCTAATGCAACCTTTCATCCACTTAATCCAGACTTCCCCAAAACCTTTTAAGTTCCAAAATTCTCCAAAGGCAATTCCAATCTACCTTATCATAAAGACTATGGGTAACTTCATATAGCATGGCATCCATTAACTTAAAATGATTTGTACCTTCAACAATGGAGCTTTCGATATACATGTTAACCCATTTTCATATTTATATATTTTACATTTTATACAAAGAACGTTATATCTTATTGCCGATCTAATATTGTAATTTCTACAACATTTTCTTTGTTCATTTAATTGTAATTTATCTAAAAAGCCAACGATCCAATCTCACTACTTACAGCACAAGAATGAAGCATAGAAAGTTTACCTCTCTAACAAGATCACCTAAAGCAGCTATACCAAGACAACCCACAGCAGCCCAAACCAAGTAAGATTTCTTCTCCTTTAGATGTCTACAAGTATCTATAACAAACCTGCAAAAGATAGAGAAAACTAATGAGAACTGCAGAATATTAAAAGGAAACAAAGAGCTCCCTCCCCTAAGTGAACAGATAAATTGATATAAACTAAGGTAGGGATGATGTAAAGAGGTAAGCTTAGTTTAACAAACAATAAAAGCTCAATGTGACACTTGTCAAATTGGCCCCAAAACAGACATTAATCCAGACCCTATCTGTCTAAGAAATCCAACAACTAGAACCCAAAATAATTGAAAGAGTTTGGTGAGCTTCTTCATTCATTCTCAAACCAACATCTATGAGCACAATTTGAACCTAATGCAGGTAAAATTAGATCAACCCAAACAGAGTGAAAGTCTCCATTCTGTAATATCCAAAACCTTTATAAATTAAGCATGTTCCTTTTCAAATTAAAATAATCTTAAAATTGTGCACAAAAAAAAAATTGCAAACTTCTGAAAATCCAATAATAAATTATTTGTTCACATGAATTTTCAGGATTTCATGAATAAATTATAGAATCATAAGCTTAGAACATTAACAAGTTCCACCATAAAGGAAGATATATTCTTGATTTTCTCTTACTATATACCTTCTAATCATAAAAGAGAATAAAAATGTTAGGAAAAAATAGTAAACGTGTTTTACCGTAAGAATATATAAGAAATAGTTGAACACACAAGAATATATTACAAAATATAATCATATTAAAAAAGTAAAATTAAATGAAGGTGCTGTTTGGCAAGTCTTTTTTGAAAGATCTTCCGGAAGATCTGATAGCCAAAAGACGTAGTGGGGTTTTACATAAAGATCTTGGCAGCCCACAGACCGTTTGGTTGGAGGCCCGTCTTTCCACATGAAGATGAGACAAAAAATGAGAACCTTTACTTCCAGCTTCCCAAAATAAGCTCGAATTGAGCTTCTCACATCTTTTCGGGGCAGAGGCTTTTGGCGGCTAGATCTTCCCCTAACCAAACAGGAAAAGACGAAAACACGGCCTGCCAGGCTTCTAAACAGCTGACAGCCCGCACGGAAAGACGTGTCAAACGGGGCCTAAGTATATCTACAATCTAGAGAGAAAGAGAGGTGTAGTTCCTGATTTGGGATTTAGGAGGACTCATGAACTGCATCAAAGCCAAAGTAGAAAAGTGGATGTAGTTACCACTGACTGGGATTGAGTATTGCCTTCCCCCCCTCCCCCCCAAAAGTTTACCCAGCAAAAGAAAAAGATAGTAGTTTCATCATAAATTATAGATATGGAAATACACATTCCTTAGAATGAAAATCATAGTTCTAGCAAAGAGTTAGAAAATCCTAGTTCATTTGTATTGAAGGATATACTCTCTTAACAATTAATTGGACAAGTGTTTGTTCTTTATTTGGATGTCCCTCTTTCTGAACAAATGGAATGCCTTTTGACAAACTTTGTACCAAGTATGCATTGGGAATCAAACTGCGTAGGAGATAGTTAATAAATTATGGAATTTGGAGTGCCATCCAAATCCAACTTTCTAGCATCAAAGGATTGTATCAAGTGATTTAGTTCTTTCTAGCAGTCCTTTGCATCCCATTCCATTTATTATTAGATAGCACAACCCGAAGCTTGAATAAGAAAAATATTAAAGCGTTTCTTCTCAAAATCAGAACTGAAACATTACAAAAGAAAACATGATTTTAGAATAATCTGACCTGTTTATGTCAGTAATATTTGACACCGAACCATTCTTCTTTTTATTCCTCTTTTTTTTCCAACGCCTGCGGTTTCTGCTACAAGGCTCTTGAATTGACATTTCTATCGGCTCATTGGGTTGGTTCTGCTCCCCCTCCAACTCTCCTTCTTCTACATCAAGCATATCAACATCTTGATCATTATCCAAGATTTCCTCTTCAGGTATGGACTCTAGTGTACTCTTTCTTCCCTCCATGAAACCAAGTAAACTTTATTAGGATTGATGGATCTGCTGGAAAGCATGCACAATGAGTGACAACAGAGAATGGAGGAAATCCTAAACCAAAGAATAATAGCATATAGCAGGAACGTCCAGTTAGAATCCCCCATTCCATAAATTTTCCAACGCCCCAAAAAATTCAGACTCACTCGGAAATAAGAAGAATCAAACTAAACACAGACCTGTAAGATAATCATCTTTATCTTAGACTATCATACATTTAGAGAGCTTAAACACCGAAAGAGAAAAACAGGAAGAAGATAATTAATTATAGAAGTTCACAACAAAACAGAAATAGACATAAAAATGCAATCCTTGGAGCCGAAAAAGAAGTACAAAACTTTGTTTAAATCAAAACCCATATTTCTGAAAACAGAATTAAAGTACTATCCGCAAAGGATATCGCCAACCGTGCTTGAAAGTCCAGAGATGATACCCATTATTGAACTATGCAATCCAACAATCGAAATGATATATAAAATCCTAAAATAGCGTACAAAACCAAAACCCTATAACATTGGAAGAATCAATAAAGCTAAACAAAAGAACAAAGAATAAAGAAAGTGCAGTCGAAGTCACTAACCTTCGATACTGCCTTTCGTCGAGCGCTTTCTCGCGCCCCTCTCCCTCCCTCGCTCTTATATATAACTAGCGGGGATCCGTGCGATGCACGGAATTTGTCAAAAATAATAAATCTGATAATTACAATGTTGTTTCAAATAATTTATCTTTATTTTTGTTATTTGTTACAAAAACAATAAATTACTATTAATTACTTAATAAAATAATTATTTATTCTATTAGTATTTTATTTTATTTTATTTATTTTACTTTATTAATAATTAAATATTATATTTTTTTGTAAATGTTAAATATTTAAAATACTTAAATATTCATAAATACATAAAGTTGAATTGTAGTCATAATTAAATTAATCTAAGCCCGAGCTTGAGGTTTAAAAATTCGAGTTGGGCTATGGTTGATCCTCAACCTGACCCAACCCCCTAAGGTGCAACCCTAAGAACAATGTGACATTTGTAATTATCTGAACCAAACTGAGCTATTGGGGATGGGCTACCCCCCATTGTGTAGCCCAATGAACCAAAAACATAAAAGATATTGGGCCAAATTTTCATAGTATATTAATAAATTTATAGGCTGCGTAGATAGATTTTTTTATATATTTATTATAATAAATTAAAGTAATAATTTATAAAATAAATCATAGTTTTATAATTAACACAGTGTCATAGGCCCAAACAAATATTATTACACTTGGGGTGTGAGTCGAGTTGGGAAAAGCAACCTTAAAAACTATTAATACAATATTAAAAGTTGGCCCAAGATCTTTTACTTTTTGGTTCAATTGGCTACACGAATGGGGATAGCCCATCCCTCATAGTTCCTTCGGCTTCAAAATTAATAATTTTTATCTAAAATTATTTAAAACCCCAAAAATAATGTATGGATGGGTTGTCCTCATTTTGCTTCAATGCAATTATGAATGTCACATTTCTCTTAGGTGTGCAACTTGGGTGGATTTAGTTGACTTGATGATCAACCAAAGCCCAACCTGTAGTCTTAAAGCTCAAACTTGGGCTTAGATTAATTTAATTATGACTATAACCCAACTTTATATATTTATTAATATTTAAATATTTTAAATATTTAAGCAACAATTTAGTAATTAGCAATAATTTATTGTTAGCTATACTTGTGTTAATTTTTATTAACGTTTCCATCAATGTTTATTAATTTTCATCATGGTTAGATAAATTGTTATTAATTTTTATAATTCTAAACTGAATTTAAATGAATGTTATTTTTATTAATTTCTATTAATTTTTGTTATAATTGTGTTTTGATACTAATTTTTAAGTAGGATTTAAATATATGTGCACTATACAAATAATAATTTGGAATTAAATGGCTAATTTAAAACATATATTGAAATATCACACATATATACTTATTTTAATTACATAACTTGTCTTAGTAGTATTTTATTGTTACTAATTTCATTTGTTGGTATTATTAATTTTTATCTAATTTTTTATTAATTTAATATCTTAACATAGTTGAATTTAGGAATGAAAATAGGGCATGGACCACACTCACCTCGTTGTCCCCAATCCCCATTGGGGAGGAAAATGAACCTCCATCCCCAATGGAGATGGTTTCCCTATCAGGACCCGAAGCCCTGATTTTTTTTTCAATTAAAACATATTTTAGGAAAAATATTTACTTAAGAGAAAAGAAATTGAACTATTTTCAAGTTTCAACTTTCAAAATATAAATAATATTTAACATTTATATTGGCCTCTGTCCTCAATTGGGCATTTAAAAACGGCCCAAAAAATGAACACTATAGGTTTGGATTAGAGACGAATTTGTCAAATCAATTGACAATTTGGTTTTATGGTACTTCTAATAACTTGCTTCATGGGGCTACCTCCATCCCCAGAACCCATAACCCCCAGCCCTAGTAGCCGAGGTAATTGATCCCAGATCTTCACTACAAACATCCAGCAAAAACTATCAACTAAGCCACCATTAATTGATAACCTAGCAATTCAAGTGGGCTCCCCACACGGTTAATTGTTTATGTAATTTTTATATTTGAAAATAATATTAAGTATTTTTTTGCATTTATCAAGTTTTACTGGCCCAACCTGAAGCTTCCAATTCAAAAAGAAAAAGAAAAAAAAAAAAAAAAAAAACAAAGTGGAAGAGCTTTAGAATCTATCAATCAACTCAATTATTACCGAATGCCAATCAATGTTCCTCATAAAAAAAAATCCAAACTCAACTCATGTTAACCACAAAATAAACTCCTTTCTATATGAATTCGTTAGCAAATTACCCATTTCAGTTGAAGCAACCAAAGCTCAACCAAGTAGTAGATAACCCAAACCCTTTTTCTAAAATTTCTCGAACAAAGCAGAAATCACGGTGTTCCAACCCTTTCATCAAATTCTGTAGAACAACTACCCAACTATTCCCTTTTTTTAGTCTATGTACTACTGATATAGAACCTTAATCATTCAATATAGAGAGTTGAAAAGTTACGAAAGCTAAAATAAAATTTAAAACAACAAAATTCAAGTCTTTGAAGCAAAATAAACAAATAACATAATTAAAGAAATGAAAGTTTGCCTAAAAGGCTAAAACCTACAACAATGAAAAAGTTTAATTTGCTTATTCAATGATGTGCGATCTAGAAGCTCTTAGCTGGAGGATGATCTGGACCTTAGTTGTGTAGCGAACTGGACCAAGTTGCAAGACAGAGGATTAGAGCACCCGGGGCGGTTAACCCGGCGAGGTCACTCCAATGCTTAAGTCAGTACTATATCGTGATTGCGAGCTAGAATCTGAGTGCTAGAGAGCTTGGATGCAAGTAATCGCGCGTACCTGGACCATAAAGGGGTTGATGCCTTTATATAGCTGAGTTATTGCGGGTTTCCCGAAACAGTTTCGAGAAAATAGTCGGAGAGTAACGTATCGGTCAATGAACTTCATTGACAGGGAGAATATAAGGCTTGCCGTTATGCGGTATGATCCCGCAATATCCGAAGTCTGCTAGGAAGCTACTGAGAGTTATTACGTGTCACTTGGTTCCTGGGCCCCGAGCTCGATTAGCCGCTGAGGTGGTAATACGCCGAGGTGACCTAGTGCCGAAGTGACTTTACGCCGAGCTCCCCATACCGTTGACTAAGCTCCCCTTGCTGAGTTGTCATCCTACAAGCAGATCGCGTCATGTGACTTTTATTTACTAGGTTGTGCCAAATTACTCCTCATCAATTGCCCCCCACTCCTCGTGGCAAGGGTCCTAACCCGGCGTGGGGAGTTCACGACGAGCTTAGGTGGATTTGGCACGGAATCTAGGTGATGTGGAGGGGGAGCCATTGGCTGGACCTGTTCAACCATTTGGTTCAACCAAGAAGTAACCCAGATCGCGTACCCGATACACGCGGACGTCAAGCTGATTATAGACTCCGCAGACGTCAAAACACGCGCTAAATCGATTTCAACCTCGAGGGGCATGCAACCGGTTTCCCTAGGAGTCGTCAGATCATGTTGATCTTCGGTCTTCCTTTTGGTGAGTCCACCTTCCTTTGCTTTTTCCTTTTGATTCTGTTGTCCTTTCCTTTAATATGTCTAGCCTTATCTTAGATAGTCTTCTAGACGGGAGCGGCGAGTCCGCTGGGGCCGAGGTGGGTACCTCGACTCAGACCCTAGATCCTCGTCCTATTGAGGTGGTCGCTTCAGAACAGGGCATGGCCCTCAGTCTACTCGAGGTGGACTCACTTTGGCGAGAGCGAGAGGCTTCTGGTAAATCAGCTTCTACTTCACACCAAGGTCGGCTGCTAGACAACTTCGGCCTGTCAATAATGACGACGGACAGGCTCTTAGCCTTAGTAGCCCGGTACAGACTCCCTAACGACCTTGTGTATAGCATCCCCTTAGGCAACTTTCCTTGGGATCATGATCACAATGAGATCATGATCTTTGAGAAGCAACTCGTAGTTGGTCCGCGTCTTCCACTTCCCCCTCTTATAATCGAGATCGTTAAATTCTTTAACATTACCATAGACCTTCTCTTTTCCATGATTACAACCGTCCCCTTGACCTCGATGTCTTCTCTTCGATCCTTTTCATTAAGAAAAACTCGTCCTGCGTTCTGCTCGAGCACAGGCAAACTTATTACTTGTCTCATCGTCCTGGGTACAAATTGTTGCACGAGCTCCCTAATAAGGTCCTAGCCTGGAAGAGGCATTACTTCGTGATCCGCAACACCGAGGGGTGGCCCTTCCCGACTCACTAGAGGGCAGCCATCCAGGACCCCAATGTTAGATTGGACATGAAGACAAGGGAGGAGGTCCGATTTTGGGTGGAGATCGGCCTGAAGTTCGAAAACTTCATGACTGAGGAGAAGCTCGTGCAAGCCGGCCTAAGTCCTCCTAGTAGGTCATTATTTGTTGTACTTTTTCTATTCGTTTTACTTCGATACTGTATCTGACTTAGCTCATCTTTTATCGTAGTTGCCATGGACGACATCCCTGCTGATGAGCTCTTTGGGAGCATGAAGAAGGGGAAGAAGAAGAAGAGAGCCTCCAAAAAGGCTCGCATCAAGACTGAAGCAGCCACAACTGAGGCTACCATTCCTGAGCCTGAGCACCCACCAGTTGCCGAGCAGCCTCTCGTAATCGATCTGGTCGAGGAGGACTCGGGCAAGGCCACCCCACCTCGCATGCCCGAGGAGGCTACATCTTCAGAGCCCGTCCCAGCAACCGCCTCTTCTTCGGGCAGTAATGCTCCAATTCGGAGCATTTGATCGCTCGTTGGGCCGACTTGCCAGTAGTTCAGCTCGGGGTCCAAGCAGCCACACACTGTATGGTGGTATGTTCTTGAACTTGTCTTTCAATTTGTCTTGTACTTAGATTGTTTGTATATTGATACTCATTTTCTTCCCTTGGCAGGTGAACTCCTCCATCCACACCTTGGCTTACCAATCCGAGGTGCACCTAAAGCAGGCTTTTTGAAGCCGATGAGTCTTCTCGAAATGCCCACGTCGAACTGAACCTAGCTCGCAGCGAAATCAACCAACTGAAGAACG